CAAAAAAGTCCCGGCAAGTCCGACCCAGTGCCTCTGATTCTTAGTTTATTATTTCAGGCTTTACAAGGCCACTTGGAGCAGCGCAGGCCATATTTTAGCCTGTTTTATGTTTCTCCAGACCCAGTAATGCTACTTCTACTCTTACTTATTGATTTATTTATGTTTACTTTGTACTCATTCTAATGTAATCTGGTGTTTTTACTGCAAAAAACATTTATTTCCAAGATAAACAATTTTCGTGGCTGCACAGTACTGAATTTAACACATGGGGCCTACAGTTCATAATTAATATTCAAATAATTAATTACTCATTACTCAACCACAAAATTACTCAAAACATCCATCACTATGACTCATCAACCAACTCAACAAGACTATGCATGTGAATGTTTACTCTTCGAGATGAAGGCTTCAGATGACCCCATCAATGTCAGATGGACTGTGCAAATACACATACGCACACTGACACACACAAACACACATGCAGACACACATGCGGAGCTGAGATCTGATATGCTGATGACCAGCTGTGCTCCAACAGGATACAGAACTGATCCAGATGTGGGAGCGGACCGTGAGATGACAACGGCGCTTTTCACAGAGCACTTGTTTTATTTTTCCCCCTCTCTCTCCCTCAGCACCGTGCGGGACGCCCTCCGATAACTATCTCTGCTACAGTCACTTGTCCAAATATACGACCGACCCCGCTGATGGAAACACAAATTCACCTCTTTCTTAGAACTCCATCACATACAAACACACGTACACATGGAGGGAGTGTGAGAAAAATGAACGGGCTGCACTTGATTGTGCCACCACAAAAGCAGCCTGATCCATCAGAAGTGCCAAAAGTTTGGACACTCCAATCATCAAGAGCTTTACTATCTTCCACATTTTAAGAGACCCTTATTAGTCCCAGAACAGGGAAATTTCGCCTCCACATTTTGACCCATCCGTGCAGTGAAACACCACATACACACTAGTGAACAAACACACTAGGGGGCAGTGAGCACACTTGCCCAGAGCAGTGGGCAGCCCTATCCATGGTGCCCAGGGAGCAGTTGGGGGTTAGGTGCCTTGCTCAAGGGCACTTCAGTCACGTATCGTCAGCTCAGGGGATCAAACTGGCGACCTTCCGGTCACAAGGCTGGTTCCCTAACCTCCAGCCTATGACTGCCCCCATTTTTTTATTTATATTTTTCTTTGAAGAATTTAAGATTAAGATTTTTTTTTAAGATTAAGAAGATTAAGATTTTAGAATAACAGTGACCAAGTGAATTACGTAGTGACCAACAAAGTGTTGAAAAACTAGTAAAAACTGTCATATGACATTCTTTAAAGTAGCCTCCATTTGCTTTAAAGGACAATTCAACCAGTTTTTCAAAATATCTGCATAAACCAATAGTTGTGATGTAAACAAAATCATTCAGAGTGGTTTGATGTGAAGACTTCTTTACAGCGTTGGTTAAAGTAACCAGGTGTTGTGATGTCTACAACAGAAATATAGTCATTTTATTTAGTATCCACAATGACCAGTGAACCAACATATCTTCTGAGTTGGTTTATATAATGTTGAAAATGGTAAAATAGTGCTAGTGAGTATTTTGCTTTATAACACCCTGCATGTATCTCTCCACCAATGAAAGGATTTAAAAAATATATTTAAGCTCAAAACAATCCTGACTCTACAACAGTGCAATTCAAATCAAACTAGTGTGAATGACTATTTATATCTTAGTTACTTGATTAGGCAGATATTTAGACAAATTGGTGGAATTTTCCTTTCACGTAGCTTTACATGCTCTTGGCATTCTCTCAAGCAGCTTCATGAGGAGCCAGCTGGAACGCTTTTCCAACAGGAATGAAAATTTTTCTCATATACTAAACACATATTGACTGCTAAACTCCATATTGAAATGTTGGAGTATGTCAATATATACTCACTGTCACTGAAACAAATTTCAGGAACATAAGCATAAACCTTTTGTTCAAAATGCTTCTAAGATTATGAAAACATACCTTCAATCAGGTGTGTCCAAACTTTTGACTGGTATTAGTCAAAGTAATGTCTAATATGCAACGTATGTTGGTTCCTTAACCAAACTACTATGACTTATCAGATAAATAACCAAACATTGAGGCACATCTACTCACTTATGAAAGTCTGAGATCATGTATGTTTATCCAAGTGTTCATAGACTGTTGTAATGGACTATGGACATAACCCTTAGTATCAGACCCTCCCATACCCCCTGCTGACCTGGAGAGATAGAGACCCAGCGTGCAGTGATCAGACTCAGGCTTTGACTGGGACAGCAGCCCTGGCGGGGCCACTGGAGCCAGGCCCCATGCAATCTGAGGCCAAGGACAATGTTTGAACACCTGCCCAAAGCTCTCAGGAGCAAAACTGCAGTTTGGGGAGGGCTTGTTATTCCCTACTGTCAGGAAAACTGAACACTTCAACAGGGCCAGCAAAAAGCCCAGCACAGACTGGACCAGGCCAGTTTACACACATCGCTCCACATGATGCTCATCCATGCACACACAGAAGAACATACACTGCCCTTCAAAACACTGAGGACACCATGCCTACCATGTCTTCTTTTCTGGTTTGAATTACTTTTAAATTAGTAAAAAACTGGCCATTGAATGGAATGGAAGCTAGCATTAGCATGATTCTATTCGCACTATTGACAACAACTGCTATTTACTTTCACTGTGACTGTTGGAAAAGAAAGAAAAATATCTGTGAAGGTTTTTGTGAACAATTTGCTAAGACTGGTTATATTTTTCAACACTCAGTTTCATATTCATCACAGTGTCTTCCTTGGTAGGAAGAATAGGTTTTGTCCTTGTCCAATGAGTGGTTAAAAGCACATACTGAAACTCTATTGGCCCAAAGGAGGTTTAAACACACCAGCTCTAGGCCTACATCAGTTCAAACGTAAGCATGCAAGTGTTTGCTATGTTCAGATTTACTAAATGACTACAGGCTGCACCACACAAACTAGTTTTAATGCCAAGCTTAGTAGTTGCTAATTATAATTACCCTCTGCCCTATGCTCGTGTTAGTATTAGAAAAAACAATGTAGCACAAAGAAGACAAAAACATGACCCAAGGAGAGAAGGCCAACTTCTAAACTTACTTTTTTTTTTGCTAAGTTTACTAATAAACCATAAATTCTATGTGCTTTGATGCTTCCAACATCCAACTCCAAATATGAAACTAACATCCAAAGCTCCATCTTAGTGATAACATTCATAGCTCACGCTCTTTCTTGACTGATGCTGAAAGTTTCTGATTTAAGCTGCTGTAGTGACGGTTCAACAGAAACCACTTGTTGCACATTCGTTGTGTCATGAAAGTAAAGCATTTTATTCAGATCAACTGTAAAAGCAGAAACTTGTACACACAGTTCCTTTATGAGTGCTGATAAGTGCTGACATCACAACAAGAGGATGAACTACACTTCTTCAAGGGTTCTTCAAGGGTTCTTTAGTAAAGAAAATGGTTCTGTGTAGAACCATGAACATGCAAACAACATTTTGCATGATTAAAGGGTTCTTTGCATGGTGAAATGGTTCTTCAGATTGAAAAGGGTTCTATATGGCACCAAAAAGGGTTCTTCCAGTGTGAAAAGTTTGACATCGAACCATTTTTGGTGCTGTATAGAACCCTTTTCAAAAAGGTTCTATACCGACCCATGCACAATACAGTCTCCATCAGTCTAAAGAACCATTTCACAATGCAAAGAACCATTTAATCATGCACAGAGTTCTTTGAGTGTTCATGGTTCTATATAGCACCATTTTCTTTACTAAAGAAACCTTGAAGAACCAGAAGAGTGTATGTGGGATTTGGTGATGTAAGGTAGAATTAAGGTAAGATTTTAAGTGGTTGGTATAGTGTAGTGGGTAACTCCTCTGCTTTCTACACTGTAGCCTGGGTGTCAATCCCTGCCTGAATAAACTCCCTGCACTATACCAATAAGAGTCCTTGGGTAAGACTCCTAACACTACCTTTGCCTTCTTTATGTCTGCCAAATGACATAAATGTAAGATTTGTGTTCCTCCAAATAAATTTACCTTTAACAAGTTATTGTAAAGCAACAAAGAAAATATGCTCATTCGTTTTAAAAATGTTGTAAAATGATAAGTGTACTCTGGTCTCAGCCTCAGACGCTTCTCCCACATGTAAACATAGCGCCTGATATCTTCTGCAGGTTAAGCTGGCCACAACTATGGGGTTTTGTCTGTTGCAGTCTGACTGGTTATCCGCGCAGTCTTGTGTACGCATTTCTGTGCAGTGGGTTGTATACATCTGACGGAAAACACACGATTGCAAGTACATGCGCTTCCGTCAGTCACGAAATTAGATTCAAATTCGATTAGCATCTAAATAACCTTTTTTTTTTTCAAATCGATGATTATTTTACCATCATCAACATTACATAGAAACTCAGAAGACACATGTAGGTTGACTGGTCATTTTGGACGATAAATAAAATGGCTCTACTTGTGTTGTAGACAACGCAACCCCTGGTTCCTATCACCACCACTGTAAAGACAACCGAGTTTCTCTACAATGAATCATTTATTATCACACTACTCTGAATGATGTGTTTGCACCTCAATGATTGAATTAATATGCATATGCAAAAGACGTCCATTTCTGCTTTTTAATCTGCTTTTCTCCATTAGTCATGTGATTTCTCAGTGCTTGAGTTGCATTTGCATTTCAGTGAGTGAGTTGCATTTCTTTTATATGTAAAGAAGAGCTGTCAAAATACACAAGTCTTGCAGACTCTCTGACAACAGGCAGAAGTCTGGCTTGTGAGACTAACTGTACCCAAACCTTTGATAGCCAGTACCTACCCCCCTATACTTGTACATGCTTATGGACTTATGGACTTCGAATGAGTGCTATTTTCCCTTTTTCTTCTTTAAATCTGGGATCATAGCTGCAGTGCCGATGTGTGTGTTTGTGTTGGGAATTTTACCTTTTTTTTGTCTCTCATGGAGCCTTTGCCTCTCACCATGATCTTGCATCCTGTCTCAGCCTCCAGCTGCTTGGCGGTGAGCCCCCGCGGGCCCAGGATCCGGCCCACGAAATTAAACTGTAACACACATACACACACAACATTTAGTCCTCTGCTTACACGCCGCATCTACGCTGTATTGGATTCAATAGATTAGAAGCAGATGATACCTTTTCACAGTGTGCAAAAACTCAATACAGTAAAATTACACAGTACAGTGCACAATGTTTCATCACGCTGACCTTGATGTAAAGGTAGTACGCAAAACAGCTTTCCTGAACAACGTAAGGCCTTGTTTTCCCCAAAGCGTTCAGCATTCAGAAAATCATTTTGCTGACACAAAAAGTGAGAAAGCACAGGACTAGCAGACATGATTCAGTCACTGAATACAGCACTGAAAGTGTGAGTGCACATCCCCTGGATCACTGAACGTCACCTTCAGAGTCATGTCTCAGTGTTCATTCCAGAATTAAACAAGATTTTATTTCTTAAATGTAAAGCAATATTCAAAAGGCTTGGCTCTAACTGGCTTGGAAAAGCCCTCTCCAGGGTCCTTGTGTTCTCCTCCCAGCACGTCTCAAGAGTTTCCACCCTGATTTGTCTTAAAGTTAACAGGTTTACAGAAGCACTTACAAATCATAGTCACAAGTGAGTGATATTTCTGTTCTGAACGCATTAAAATGCTTCTACAGTTTGAAGTTGTAGCCCTTAGACATCCTTAGATGTCACAGTGATTGCTGGTGATGACAAAAGCATTTCGTAATTTCACCCATTAACCCTTCAGGGTCAATGCAAAAAGCAGCTATTTCTTCTCTGTCAGTCATCACGTATGTATCAGTTGTCAGTTGCTGTTTGATATGTAACGAATGTGATCTACGAAAACATTCATAGATTTTCATTTAGTTTGTCTCACTATTTCTAAATAAGCAAACACGAGGCTGCCAGCAATAAAGAAAGCTTTGTGCATCTTTTCTTTTGTCGGAAGTGCAGATCCTAAACTGTGAGTTGCTACCAAATGAGTGAAAGAAGAAATATTTAATTATCATTTGAATTCCATGAAACATTATAGTTGTGTGTACACTCTTGTAGAAAAACAAGTTATAGTTTTGCTAAAACATTTAAACACACACACACATTATCTAAGCAGCTTATCATTCTGGGTCGTGGGGGGTGCTGAAGCCTACCCCAGCAATCACTGAGCAGAACATTAAAACATAAAAGTTAAAACAGTTTTTACATTTTTGATGTGAAAAACTCAGACTTGAACCTGTCAATATAGAAAATGATGTAAACTGAAATAACTTCTCGTTGTTAACACCACAGTAAAATCTACCCCATGTGAGCTTCAGCACATTAGGGACACAATCATCATAGAACAGTTAACCCTGTAACTCTTTAAGGCTTATGCAAAAAAGTGTCTATTTAATCTGTTCTCCTTCTTTAATAACATGACTTCTCAGTGCTGTTACCGCATTTATTTGATAAGCAAAGAACTTGATTTAATGAAGTCGACACAAAGTTACAGATCAGTTGCATTTTATTGCTACGACTGGCTGGTGATGAAGTCCCTGTAGTTTTGAGTGCCTGTTATTTGAAATATCTTGGTGACTTCACCCTTTCTCAAGTCCAAGTAAATGGTCAGAAATCTAATTTTTGAAAGAATGCTCTTTAGAAAAAGATTGTTTTTAAAGCTGCACTACACAACATTTGGGGATTTGGAGACCTCTCTGGTGGAAATGTGTAGCTGCAAGAAATGTGAGGGCGAACCTTTTATAACGTGGGTTGTGTTTGTTCCCAGAGCAGACGAATCTTAAGATTGTGAGTGCACTGAAAGAGTATTCAGTCAAAACTTGGTGAAGGACATGTCTTCTGAAGACGTGACTAAAGTATGAATGCCATATCCTCATCAGTATAATGTTGACTTTGCATTTGAAACCTAAACATCGAGCTGAAGTTGGATTTCAATGTTCAGATTTAAATGAGTTAAAGATGACGTCGGCACACAGATGCATCTCTGAATGTACCACCGGCGGGTTTGGTTTGATTAGATTGAACCCCGAAGACTGGATGGGGGCTCACGCTACAATTCCTCACTCTCAGAACTATATAATTTATTTCAATTTCACAGCAGTTACTATAAAACTTGCAGTAGAAGCCTTAAGATTACCAACAGAATAATAAGCTTAGAGCACAAGGAGGTTAAACCACACCAAGAAATTCCTGGTGTTGTAGATAAAGAACTGCACAATGTGTGTAGGAATCAGTAATCCAGGAAGCAGGTTGGGGAGAGGAGTGTGGGGAAATGCGAATGAGATCCCTGCGAGGCAGCTTGTTTGAGCAGGGCTGTCTGAGCGTTATCTCACGGACTCATCAGGCCAGGCTCTGACAATGGAGCTCGATGTGTGGTGAACGGGTGCCAATAGCGCGGAGCATGGCCCCCGGCCTGCTCCGAGCCCACCGTGACAAGATAAGAGCCGCCGATCGTTTGCCCGATCGATCAGCTATCAGTGCTGACCTGAAGCCTGTCAGTCAATAGACCAGGACCTGTCCACACACGGGCAGCCACACGGGCTTGACGGACAAGCCTTAAAACAAAGTCAAAGCCAACTCTGAGTTGAGCTGATCTCAAAGATAAAGAAAGTAGAAACTAATTGCTTGCCTGTGATTGGGCTTCTGTTGTTTGGTAACAGCCCAAGTGCTTTACAGCAGTCGTGGGAGATTAAAAGCTGTTGAAATCATATCTAGCAGCGCTGTATCTATAAAAAACTGCAAATAATCAAATAATTGATAATACGTGTTATTATGACACTGAAGATGCCGCACATTCCACTGCATTCAGACCAGACGAATTAGTCGCTTCTCCCCACTGTCTTAGGCTGTGAAGTGCACAAAGCCTGTCTATGTTTACTCTCACACGCTCGGCTTAATTTGAATCACATCCTTTTTATCCGGCCACCCCGCCCCCCCCCCGCTTCTTCCACAAGGAATTCCATTCATCAAAGCGACGCAGTCGATATGACATCCAGCAAAGGTTTGATTTTGGAAGTAAGGCGGTAGGCACGCAGCTCTGCCTGCTGCAAAAAATCCCATTTTACACAAAAACTCCCCTGTTCTAATCAATAATCCTCCAAGGCCTGATTTATCAATGTATTTGGTATTCAGACGCGATGTTGTTTTCACACGAGCGACTCTGTGCATAATCGACTGCTTGTAAAACATAGTCTACGGACACTGTTAAGTTAGTGAAAGAGTGTGTGTGTGTGCTTGATAACAGCGTGTTTTTTTCTCCCTGTTGCATACTTCATTCCTGTCCAAGAGCACTTGCGGATATGAATGAAAAGAAGCAATTAAATCATGCTCTGAGGCACAAAAGCAACAGTGCAAGCATGACATTTGTATGCATGCGCACAAGTCCTCAGGGAGGAAGTAATGTGTGTGTGCGTGTGTGTGTGTGTGTGAGTCACACTGTGAGCACATCAGGCTAGTGGCTAATACCTGTCTATTATAACTGATTCTGATAAGCACCGACTCTTTAGGCCACTGCACACTGACAGCACTGCTCAGTGTTACAGCATAGCAGTTAGTACAAGGCGCAACTATAGCATATAGGACGTGTAGCAGTGGCAGCTCAGAGAAACATAAAGCTTGTTTAACACCCTACTCATATATATTTAATGGAATATAACTTCCATCATTTAGTGAGTTTATCATGACTGGTATCTGCTAACTAACTCTCACAAACCTGCCTTTTTAAAGCTTAAAGATGTGAGGCGACAACACTAGTAACGTTAGTTGACTTAACAGACAATTAGCACTTGTCTGTAGAATGGCTGCCCTTCTTGGTGTAACTCTGAAGCCACACATTACCTGCTCTGGCTTTTTGGGTTTATTATAATACATTGGCAAAATGCTGAGGGCGCTCAGGCTTGCAGGGCTGGGAGTCACCAAGCATCAACACTGGTCAGCACTGAAGGTGAACGTCCAGTGTGCGGCAGCCCTTACAATTACGATACCACATAAACATACATATAAGTAATTAATAAGCAAAACGTGGGGAAAAAAGTATCTTTTAAATAAATGCATTATAGTTCATAAGTTGGATTCACTTGTTTTATTGCTAATTTACGTTATTTTATAATAATTATATACAATAATAGCTTAAAATATGAATTTTATAATTAGACACCAAAAATTTTCTTGGATGTTTTATTCAATATTCCAAAGAATCTGAGTTATTATACAGCACTGTGCAAGAGTCAGAGCCTGCTTCACTTAATTATTTTTTTTTATTTATTTTCCAGGAGATATTTCCATAATGAAGGGGAAAGTCAAATGAAAATAACTGAAAAACACAGGGGGTTACAAAACTGGAGTTAAAAAAAAGATTCAAAGATACAGAGATAATGGGACCCCTACCAACTGTACAAGACCTGGTAGACTACCAAAAGTGTCTCTATCAGATAAACAGCACTTAAAGCTTTCATCTTTAAGAGAGAGGAGAAAATCAAGCTCCACTCTTCCTTCAGATCTAAAGGCATCAACAGGTGTTTCAGTCCATCCTTCTACTGTGAGAAGACAACTCAGCGCTATGGGTCTGAAAGGATGTGCAGCTGTTAAGAAGCCCCCACTGAGAATAAATAGAAGAAACTTTGCAAATGAAACAAAGAAGACATACTGAAAATTGTGATATTGTTTTTAGTTGCTGAGGTTCTTTTAAATATATGCTTCTTTGTTTTTTCCCTGATGTTGAAAAATGAATAACTTGTACTTAGCGACCGTTTGGACTGAACATTAAATAAATGGAGGGTGTTCTCTGAGTTTTGCATAGTACTGTGTACTGTTCATTTTGTACTGTAATTATCAACTCACAATTATTTTTGTTGTCTTTCATGCGATTTAAATTTTCCAATATGAGCCATTCTGGATGTTAAATTTATTATAAATTTAATCTTGATGCTCTACAGCTCTACAGTCATTTTAGAATCACCTACAGCTCCGTCCATCATTCACCTCAAATTAGCTTTTATATTTTTAAAATTATTTCTTCAAGACTTTCCAAGCAACTACTGTTAGAGCTG